TTACTTGTTAATGTAAAACTAAAAGGTTTGAATTCATATGCACGCCACACAAATCTCAGAATTGTCTATTGTTGTTGCCATCCACAGTTATTTGCCACATATGACAAAATGTTAGAAAGTGGAGGGGAAATTAATACTTCTGCAGAGCACAATGTAGAAACCAGGAATCCTGAAACATTTAGCACTGCTGGTTTGAGATGAATCTGAAGCACAGTCTCTGTAATCAACGGGAGTTTGGAGGCATGCTTATGTTTCAAACCCTTGCCTTTAACAAAATATCTGCCTCTGATGCGAAATGGATGAAAGTGGTACTTGCAGCGGGGCTTTCTGGCTGTCGGTGTCAAATGCCTAAGAAACGCATGCCTTATAGCAGATTAGCCAGACGGATGTTTGATGTCTGTCATACATCTCTAACAAACAGGTCAACATGCTTTTTTGTTTTTACTATAAACTTCGAATTCTTGTTAAATGCATGAGCAAATGCCTTATGTATTAAAGTGTGAATAGTCATAGCAGTTGAATTACACTGGGAGAAAAGAGCTGGGTGAACTGGGTCACTACAAGCTAAAAAGACAGCATATCAAGTGCTGAAACCAGCTAAATGTGATTGTTTTTTGATAAATGTGTGCATTTTCTAAACAAAGTACATGGCTTCGTTTTGAAGCCACGTACTTCAAAACGAGGACAGGCAAACAGATTGTGACTTATCTAAATCAGATTGCAGCTTTTCACCTCTTCACCCTGCTGAAACAATCTGCAGAGTTTTGTATTGTATTGGTGGATGCAGTAACAGACAGGTCACTAATGTTTTTCATCAAGGTTTCTGCGTCAACGCAGTCATTTTCAGGGATGTTTTCTTTTATTTTGTTTTGTCCCTGATATAACAGCAAGTTGGTAAAATGCCTCAGTAACTTTAATTGCAGGAAAATAACATGCAACATGTAATTAGTATTACATGGGCTATGTTAATATTGATTGTGTCCTGCTTAACTTGCTCAGAAATAACTTGAGGTACACAGCTGTATCTGTTTTACTTGACGACAGACACGTTGTCCAAAAAATAGCTTATCAAATGGAGTCAATATGACTCCAATTAGTCATGCGATGACTAAAATTTGAATAACTTGTATATTGTTTTTCAAGCTGTGCACTTTAAATAGACTGTGATTAAAAATAAAAAAGGTACATAGAAACCACATTTGAGTGGCAGACTTAATACCTGACAATTAAGGTTATAAAGCGGTAGAAAATTCTCAGAAACTTCATGCGAGTTTAAGCGATAACCTAATTTAAAAACTTGACAGTTTTCTCTCACATCATTTCCAAATACTAGCATAAACATTTGGTTTTACCATGAACAGATGACAAATTCAATAAATTTTACAATTGCAAAGCTTTGCATTTTCAAGCAATATGTCTCATCAGGTTTTAATTCCTTTCATGGAACAATTAATTATTTCGTTAAACATCAAACAGATTTTTAAAAGCCTACCCCCTGCCTTTAAACAAGCTGAAATGACACCATACTCCAAAAATAATAAATATTGTTATCAAGCATGGTTTCCTTTTTGTAATTGAAAGCATGGACAGTAAAAATCTCCTTGCTCAGATTTTTCAGGCTGCATTTAGTCACCCTGTCCTCAAATTCTTCACTGACAAATGTCAGCCGTCCAGGTTGTAGAAATCATCTGTGCATGTGATGGAGGAATGCAAAATGCATGTAGAGGATGTGGTCATTTTACCCTTTAATAAGCAGAGTATGTGACTGGAATAGCTTTGATATGTGTAGGTCTACTTGTATGAAATATGTTTGTTTTTTTTTTTGTGATTTTCCAAGCTACATCTGGAATCCATGAACACCAACCTTAAGTATTTAAAATTGCTCGTTTCTTTTCATTTACTCCCAAGGAAAATTTCCAACTTCAAAAATTCATGGAATTTTGTTACTTTAAACGCATAACAATTTTATCTTTAACTATTGGAGGTTGAGTTTAGTGAGGGATTCTGATGATGATTGGTTACCAAGGGAGTTTCCCTCAGCAGCTCATTGAAAACCAAATATAAAGTTTCTTTATTCTTGGAAACCTTTGTAAGTTTGAAAATGGTGACACTGATCACCTTTGTTACAAAAACTATTCAGTCACTTCTAATTTTAATTAGTGACTGCATTTATTTTTCTGACACTAAATTGGTTCATCAAGTTTCGTCTTTATTATGCATTTGATAATTTCATCGGCTTATTTCTGCCACTATTTTGGTTCTTTTCCCATCATGGTTTATTTACCAAGAAAACATCAGTGGATGATAGTAAAATGTGTGTTTTTTTTTTGTTTGTTTTTTTTCCCCCTCACGTTTTAAACATAATACTGTTGGTATTATTTATTCCTCATAACTGTGTGACCAAAAATTTAAGGAAGAGTTGTGAATAATCTTAAGAAGTGACATGGAGATGTTTGCCAGTTTCATGGTGAAATTTACTCCATCTTCTTTTTCTTTCTTTTTTTAAATAACTGTTGATACTGAACAGAAATGTAGCAATGAAAGTGCTGCAGCCATATGATTGTTTAGATTTTAGATCTTTTGTTGCCATCTCTATTCTTTCTGTAAATGTTTGCTTTATAAATCTTGATATAAAAGGTTTTCTGGCAAAAAAACATGACAGCTTTTAGACTTGCACTTTGGTCCCAGATTTATTCACTTGAGTATTGTGTATCGAAGAAATAATGTGAATCTAAATATTTATCTTAATGCCTGTGCCTTTTTAAGTCTATTCATGTTTGTGCTTCATATTTCTGTGCTTAGATTTTCAGCTTAGTGTTGTAAATCTTTTTTATCATGTGGAGGGAAGTTGAATGTACTCAAAGGACTCCAAAGATTTGTTTTTGGATGATCTACTGAGATGTTACTTCTGAGTTGCTTTATATTGTGAAAACCTTCATATTTGAAATTTACAGTCGTTAAAAACCTTAATTGTAATTCTGTTTAAATCTTTAATTAATCATTGGTTTTTGGCAAGATATTGATGATATTTAAAGTTAAGAGGATGGGGTTTTCTTTTTTTACTCTGCTGTTGCTTGGTTTTGTGACTTGAGCATTCTGTTTTGTCTTTGTCAAGTGTTAAACTGTTTGAGATCATTTCCTCTTGTTATTTTTCTAGCTAAGGATGTGTCATTCATAAAAGTGAAAAAAGTAGCCGCTTGTTGTGGTTTTAAATCAGTTAAACCTTTATTGCAATACACAAATAGGCAACATTGTCTCCAGAATTATCCTTGAATACCAAAACGCCCTCAACTTTTGACTAAGCAGCTGTAGACGCATCAGAAACGGGGAATAAAATCCTGTTCTAATGCGACTTATCCTGTCATTAGCAGAGGAAGAAGATACCAAATCTTCGCCTATAAGCATGGCACATTGTGAATAATACCCTGGATATTATTATCTCCATTTCCTTCAACAATTTTCATTCAGAAAAACATTAGTGTGAGTAGAAAATGTCCCCAGGCTCAACTTAAGCAGTCCTGTGGAGTCTGGCTGTTTATGCTGCCGATTAACTCTTTCTTCATCTGTTAGCCCTTAATTTAACAGTGAAAACTGTCCCTGGTTTCCTGAATGTCAAACTGTAGAATCAAATTAGGGTTAGGAAAGATAATCTCAGAACACTGCATGGTACTGGCAGTTACACAGCACAAAGCTTTAAAGGCAAGCATAGCCACCTGGGTGTCCTAATGCAAACACATAATATTGCTTTGAAACCTGCTTGTTGTAGAGCACAGCACCCACCTCGCTTATTTTAATGCCAAAAAGAGATGTGTAAAAGTGAGGCCTTGAGTCACAGCACATTAAACATTTAGTAAAGTTATTATTTGAAGGGAGATCATGTATCTAGAACTAATAAAACTACAGATGTGGCACTTTTTTCCTTTTTTGGGGAAAAATGTTTACATACTATCACTTCTCTCATCTATTCAGAATAGGAAAGACAACAAAAAATATGCCATTCATGTAAGGCAGACATGTGCAGAGCTTCAGTCAGGAAGTGGCTACTTGAAAACTGTAAACAACACAAACACTTTAACACGGAAATTTGGGATGTAATCTAGGAATTTACTTTTTCTGTCTTGACATTTACAAATATCAATACCTCAGCTTCATTAAAGATTACAGAGAGTTTAAAGGATCCATGTCCTTAAGATGGAGTCTTTTGTAACAAGCATGGGTTTGAAACAAAATATGTGGACAAGCGTCTGTTCCTCTGATTAAGTGTCTGTGGTGCTGCAGGCCTATATCGCTTCCAAAGACCCTGGCAACCCTGACAAGGTGAAAGGCTTCATAGGAAAAACTGCATAATCACTAACCGGATACAAAATAAATCTTATGGCATGGTTGAGAGGACGGGTTGCATTTATCTTAAATATTCAGAATAGGATTATGCTATTGCAATAAAAGCTGTATTTATTTTAAGGCCTTTTTACACATCTTTACTAAGGCTACGGATATGTTGCCTTAGTAAAGGATGCTGTATAGACTACTGATTGGATGTAAACCGATGATGATCGGTTTTCCAGACTCTGGAGGAAGGTACAACATAACTCATTGTTCCTAATATTGCCTTTAGAAATGCCTTTTTAAGAATAAACATTTATACTAAGCACTTATTTCACATTGCTTATAAGGTTCCTACCTGTAAGAGGATGAAACTATCAGCTATCTTATTGTAAATTTCAAACATCGTAAAGCATCCATACAGATTAAAACTTAATTTCCACCTACAGTAAATGCCGAAAAACTATTTTCTGCAAAATGAACAACTGGTTGACCTAAGAGTGGCTCTTACTGAGACAAATGGACAACTGTCAGTCTTGCTTGAGTCCATCTGTGTCTTCAGAGTACATCTCCACTGTTTGCACAGGCAGAATAAGACCAAGGATCCAGCGGGCGCCAAACACATCCTTGAGATTTGCTCTCCAGGGGCTGCGGTTATCCACCAGCTCCCCTCTCTGCATCTGACACCAGGTCTGCCCCCGGGCCACCAGCAGCACCTGCTGGCAGCAGAAACCTGCACACACCAAGCCAATGCCCAACCATACGTAGAGCATCAGCACTAGGAACAGCTGCAGGCCGGAGATTGTGCCTACGAGAAAAAGGATTACATGAATTCAGAAGCAAAAAACAGTAAAAGTGGTTCCTCATCGGATTAAACTAGAAAACTCACCCATGAAGAAGTAGGCGGTGGACAGAGGTAGGAGGGTCAGGAAGGTCAGAGGGTTCTCAAAGGAGATGGAGTACTCGACTGTCAGGAAGGCCACGCCAAGAACCAAAGAATACATGCATACGCATGATGTGTAGATGCAGAACATGATGAAGTAACGCATGTTCTTGTTGCCGATGCAGTTTCCAGTGAAAAAACAGTGGTGATCCCTCCTGAAAATGACCTTCCTGCACAGTTTGCAGAAATGACGGCCATTAAGGAGGTAGTGGGAATCAACTTTGTCCGAGCAACGTGGCGAACACACGGGAATCGCAATCTCGTTGTCACTCTCGGCCGGATATTTGATTGTCATTATGTAATTCCCCAAAGCGTTAAACATCAGGAAAAGGAAAACCGTTGTGTGAAGGGCTGAGGAGCTCCTCAGCGACGTGTCTGGGTTGGGGAAGATTGTCGGGATGAAGAGGCAAAAGTGTAAAATAAATGTAGCTGTTGTAGCTGCAAAGAAGTACGCAGGCGCTACAGCATTAAGCAGTCTCAGCTTTAACATCCGGGTGAACATATCTGTGTGAGAGCAAAGGAGACAATAAACAAAAAAATTGGAATAATATATCTAGTTAATAACAGAACAATTTAGTGAGTAACTCAACTGGAAGAAAAATATACACCTTTTAAAAAACTCAGAAAACTGTGATGTAAATTGTTCTTAGTTGCTCCTTAAACCTCTAAATATAATCAAGTGCTGTCAATTGCCAAACAGGTCAAAGGAGGAGTTATTGAGAAATTTAGGGTTAGTTTATCAAAAAATATATCAAGCTTTCTCATCTCACATATAAGAAGGAAAGTCATAAGAAGTTTGTCTCAAGTAGAGAAAGATGCTCTGCTGCAGAGATGAAACCAAAATTTTACTTATTAGCTTTAATGCAAAAATGCCATGAAACACAGCCTCTACCATGAAACCTGGTAGACTGACGCAGCAAAATACAGAGCAAGCCTGAAAGAAAACATGCAGGACTTGAAACCAGTGTGGAAAATGGTCCAAACAAAGTCCACACCTCCATTCAATTAAGACTCTGTGTCAAGATGTGAGAATTGGTGTTCAAAACCACTTCCATCCAACCAGACTAAACCCATTTGGAAAAGAAGAACTGGAGAACATATTTACTTAGACGTGCACAGCAGGTACAGTCAAACTCCAAAAGACTCGCAGCTGGATGTGCACTGAAAGGTGGTTATAAAAAATCACTCATTCATACGGCTGAATATTATCTCAGTGCAAAAATGCATAGTTTAGTATAAAAGCAAGTTCTTTAACATTACTGAGTGTATTCATTTTCCAGACAATAGTTCTATCCGAGTTGAAATTACAGAGTTTGCGTTTAAATGACACAGTTTGGGGGTTTTTCCTACAAAGATTGAGTGAAGAAAACACAACTCCGCAGACGACAGGAACTAATTTCTGAGCAAATGAGGATCTAGGGACTCTCAGGTGCCACTGAGAATACTAAGAATATCTCATCCTTGTTTCAGAGGTCTACTGACCTAGAGCAGGAGCGAACTTTGGATATAAAAACCTCCAGACTAAAATTAACACTCTAAACCTAAATCTATCTATCTTATACCTAAACAGCGTGATAGGATGTCGTGTCAAACGCACATTTACGCCTCAGCTATGCTTTCTAATTCCCTGCAGAATGATGTGTAGTGTTGCCGGTGATGACGACGATCACTTTATTTTGTCTAATTTATCTCCATGGCGACAGATGAGCCTACCTGCAGCTGTCAGAAAGCGGGGGAGCTGTCCTTTCAGCACCACGGAGCCTCGGCTCGGTGCCCTGCTGCCTCTTTTAAGCGCAGACAAGAAGATGTCTCTATTCAGCCACGTTAAGGACCGTCATCACTGAGGTGTTTGCTTGTTTGTCTACCGCCCCCTGCTGGTCTGGGTACGTCCTGTTATCCTAATTTTTTCTTTATGAACTTGACTTGCTTTTTTACTTTTAAGAGGATCTAAATGAAAGATTACAAACATTTTCTGTTTCTGACAAACCAGATTTTGACTAAAAATTTCAATCCAGATTCTGCATGAAGTGCACGAGGCATATTTAAGACTTTTAAATAATGGTTTGACAATACAAACAACCTTCATGCTATCTTTATCTCCTTATTAAAAATAACAATAGTTAAAAAACAATTCTGAGAAATATGCTCAGCGTTTTTTAAAATTCTTTGGAAATCATTTAAACCTCTAATTTGGTGTTTTCATACCCACAGAGGAATCTGGATCCCAAAGTTAAAAGATGAAACAAATGAAGCATAATAATTTAGAAAAAAATGTTTAAAAAATATATCTATTAAGTCGTTGCTACTACTACTACTAATACTGCTAAGAATGATAANTATANTTATCAAAATACAAATAATAATAATAATAATAATAATAATAATAATAATAATAATAATAATAATAATAATAATAATATTATGATTATTATTGTTAAGAATGTTGATTATATCATTATATAATTATTTTTATTTTATTTTTTCATTTGTTTCACATTCAACTTGCATGTACTCAACTATAATTATTATATATTATTATAATTAGGTGACATCTGGAAGTAATTATCTGCTCTTCTTTTCACTGTGGGAGTGGCTGGGGGATCAGTGAGTAGAGTAATGACCTTGTAATCCAAAATTTAAGCGTTCCAATTAAGCATTTTATTTAAGAGTAGGAGCATAAAGGTGGAGGGGCTAAACATTAATACACACCACACTTTACAGATTTTATTTGTAGAAGGTTTTGAAAATCATGTTTTCACTTCACATCTAAGCTACTGAATGTTTGTGTAGCTCATCAAAGGTTATGAAGACGTTTGAAGGGTTTTAAAATATCTACAAAGGGAAAGCTCTGATTTAAATGATACAGTGATAACAGTGTGATGTTTGGATTACATCTGAAAAGTCTGGATACAAGAACACTCCAGTAGGTGGCAATCCAGCCTCAGTTATGTAGCCTCTTCACAGGCGCTGTCAGCTTAAGGGCCCCTACAAATGGAATATAGCATCACCATCAAAACAAGATATCACCTTGGATACAAGACTGCTCTCTATTCTTACACACAAGAAACAAGTTCATACACCTGCTTTCTGTGAGTCTGGAGAAATATTTCAACACACATTAGTGCTTCACAAATAAGTGATTAAAACACAAATCGCCACTACTTCCTGCTTTTTACAAACTATATCCTAAATAAAACCTTTACTGAGTGTAGGATTTCTAACCTCACTGTTCGGTGGTAACAGCTCTGCTCTGACCCACCTGCCATGCTTCACCAGTGTTGTCATATATATATTACTCCACCATTCTCTGCATTCAGAAAAGGCTTACGGCAGAAATGGTGACTAGTGGGATATAAAATGTTAACAATGATTCTACACCAGGAATGGTTTGTGTATTAAAGGTATTTTGGGATGCAACCCAATAAAATCCATAATGCACTTATCATATTGCATGTTGCAAGGTAATCTTTATTCTCACCGCTTTATTGATGAGTCAGCTCATTTTCTTGCAGATTATGTCCATCCAGTAGGACAGCACCTGCAAAACAGTGACAAATACAATTAGACAGAATTAAACATAAACTGACTCATAAGGGATCCTACAAAATGCTTACTCTGTGATTTGGGGATGAGGGCCATTTTTTTTCTAAAAGAGAGCTTCCCTCATGGAGTTAGCTGTGCTGTAGTCGTGAAGAAAGCTGCTTCACATGAAACAAAGTATTCTGCTTGTGTTGAGCACTGAGATTTCACCCATTTCCGTCCTGATGGGATGCACCCAGTTCACTATCTGGATCAATATGGATAAAAATGCTTCATCACAGGATTAAGAAGATCTCTTAGGTCAACAATATATTGATTCTCAGTTGCCTCTCAGTTTACTGGCTGAGAAAGGTATAACCACGCTAATGAGCCAGGTGTTAAAATGATGGGTTGAGGGACCGTCATGATTTGTTCCAGTCCACTTGTAAAACTTGGAGAACACTTATTGCAAAGTGTCCATATTCTTCGAACTTTTTTCTTCCGTTTTACAACCACAAACTAAAATGTATTTCACTGGGATTTAAAATGATCCCCCAACACAAATACATGCATGTTTAAACCATGAAGAAACTTATATTTTTCTCCTTTTTACTTTGAAAAGTGGCTCAAGCTCAATCAAGTTCTAGAAATGTTCTAGATATTTCTAGAAAGGTTTTTATGATAACCAGCTTCTTTTCATTGTAAATTTCAACAACCAACATCTATGATGCCTTTAAATTAGCCAATACACAGCACACCATGTTTGTTTGTTTTTTTATTATTTTTATTTTTATTTTTTTATGTTTAAATGTTTTATGTTTCTGAGCATTTGGGTTGAATTATCCTTTGCTTACTTTCAGATTCATTTTGTGAACTGACACACACGCTGATACAACTATTGAAAATATACTCCTAATTTCTTAAGATTAATCTTTATGTCATGGCAAAACGGAATTAAACGGGTAGTGATTATTTACAGACGCTCCCTTCGCGGTAGGGATAATTGTCAGACGGTTCCTGAGTGGGTGGGAGTTTCTCTTCTTTCTTGGAGAAAAAAAAAAAAAAAAAAGCAGCATCCTCATCACCAGCGCCAAACGCCAGCGACCAGGAAGCTCCGAGAGGTGAGCAATGTGAAATTTAAACTATCCGTTCAGCGACCTAAATGCGCACTGAAGGGGTTTATTGCGCTGATTTTGGCGCAATCGTCTTTATTAACTCGCACAACAGGGAGAGGTGGGTGCGCTGGCAGATTGGTGTGCCGCAGCAAGCAGGAGGAACAGTGAGTCGCCGAAAAATGTTTGCTTGCTTGGTAAAGAAAACCTCGTTGTTTTCTAAATGTAAAGAAGGCGTGACAATGAGGTGAACACGGAAAAGTTCATTGCGCGGGTTGATGCCTCTGCTGAGGATGATGATGATGTTCCTGGAAACGTGTCAGATAGTGTTACACCCAAAGCAGGTGCATCGTTTCTTCTTCCCACTCGAACACCTATTGTTCCTCCTGTAGAGTCAGCTGGGTGGTCAACTCAGCGTTCATTGTTGTTTATGTTTATGATTTTAGGAAATTATAGTTTGATTTGTGAGGCTGTTCATTCATGCTGCATCCCTGTCAGTCTGGACTCTGCTGGAATCACAGACACAAAGCCTTTCTTGGTCAGCTGAGCAGGCATGTTGACCTGTTGATTTATTTTATTAAGCTGGTTGCGCTTTGCAAAATTGTTCGTATCCTTTCAGCTTGTTCTCATTTTGCCACATTGCAACTGCAAACTTAAATGTAATTTAGTGGGGGTCATAGACCAACAGAAGGAAATGATTTATGGGTTTTACAACTTTTTGCAAATGGAAATCTGAAAAGTGTGGTTGGCATTTGCATTCGGCCTCAATAGAGTCACCTTTTGCTGCAATTAGAACAAAGCTGGATTGTATCTGTAGCTTTGCGGTTGTCAGACTGGATGGATAACATCTGTGAACATCACCTTTCAGTCCTTGCTGCAGATTGTTGGTTGATTTGATCTCCTAGGATGGGAGCTGACTACAAACGCATACCTCACTTTTTCTTCCAATAAGCCATTATGTATTACTACTTGTTGGCCTATCTCACGAATTTCCAATAAAACCTGTTGCTAACTATCTGCTATGTTCTGAAAGAAATAAATGCTGGTGTCATTTTTACCCAACGGAGAAGGGAGATGACCTTAAGAAATGCCAGATTCACATTCACTTTTGACATTTTAGCAGGTCAGAAAAATATGTCGCACCATAATTGGGAGCTTTGAAAACCAATCTTTTAATGTTGCCAGAAGTGTGTTAGAAAGCTCACCACATCTGATAACGTCGGGTAAATGACCGTGATGATGGTAATTAGTGTTGTTCATTAGAGGAGAGGAAGTGGATCTTGTTTCCAGGCACCCATATGTGCATCATTCTAAAATAGAAATATTTCCTCATGTTATTCAGAACCTTAGATTTATAAAAATAGACTGTTTCCTTGGAGCTTGACAAACCTCGCTGCCTCTAAAAAGCCATTAATCCAGTATCACCGGAGATACCCTCATTGAAGGGGGGGAAAGCGTAACATTTCCTCCAAACGAACATGCTGTAAAGGTTTGATTATTCCTGGCTGTGTGCTCTTTAATGCACCGAGTTGGAATGAAGGAAGGCTAGGCATGCAAGTGCAGACCATTGTAAACATATTCACACCACTTGAACTTCTCATTTTGTTGTGTTGCAAACTTTACATAAAGTGGTGGATTATTCTGAAGTGAAAGAAATCCTAAAAGTTTGGGATCCTCACAGAACAGCTGGAAAATTATGGCGCATGGTGGCGCAATACTTCTCAATGTTTTTCCAACCATTATGCCAGACATAGATTTAACCCTTCTAGTGTGAACGTGTTGGAAACGGCCAAATCTGCAGTACCGTAATTCATCCAAACTTTGCGCGATCTGAAAATTTCCAACAGTTTCTGAAAGGGGAGACGTTTCGCTTTCCAGCCAATAATGGGTTATAACGATAAATTTCACTCCCGTCGTAGCAAGGAGTGAAATTAATCTGAGATCTTTTAATAGACAGTAAACTGCGAAAATAACCGCTAGACATTGAAGGTTCTGGTTGTTATGAATAAATGGGCAATATACATTTTCTCACAGGAAATTTAAAGAACTTTGTACAATTAAAATAAGTAAAAATATCCAAGCAGAGATTTTACACTTAGGACTCAAAGGGTCAAAGAGGAGAAACAAAAGCAAATGAGGTGGATTAACGGTTTCTGCCAACCGCTGATGGTGTTAATCAGGATGTGTTACTGCAGAATATCTTCTCTCTGTCCAGAAATTAAACTGTTGACCTGTCATGACAGGATCTCAGTCAGAAGCATTTTCAGATTATTGTAAGACTGACTGCTACTGGAGATCCTTTGTGCCCACAGCATCACCATTCACAAGCATTCTCTTCCCTTTGAGATCAATTAATTTAATTAAAAAGGGGGCTGATGCGCAATTGTAGTTTTTGTCACACAACAATTTTACATCTACTTTAAACTGGATCTCTACTTTGACGAAATCTATCGGGTAAATACTCAATAAAACAAACCCATGTTTGTGACCACAATAATACAAAATTGTATCCAAGTTCAATGTGTGTGAATATTTTTAAAAGAACTCACACAAGCACATGCACTATGTTCTTATAGTCAAGCATGTGCTTGAATTCGTTTTTCCTCTCAGATTTTAATAATGCGATAATTTTGCAGCGTACTGTTGCTTTCAAAATTTGATCCCATACAAGGGATGGAAAAGTGCACTCTGAGGCCCCTAAGGGGGAACAAATGAATGCCGGTCGTCTTCAAGTATCACACAGACATTAATAATTCAGGAGGTTTTAAGCGGAGATTGATAAAAGAATCTGGCAAACGCAGAAAGACATACTTCCTTCAGAGTCAAGATGAAATAAGTTTGGTTAAAGCTAAAGCTGATTTAATCAGTATTTTTTTTAATAACTTTTCCTTCTCAGTTCTGTCCTAGCTATAGCTCACACCAGTTAAATTAATTTTCTTGATCAAAACTGTAAAAAATGTAATTAGGCAAAACAGAAAAAGGCAAGGAAACGACATCCAAGAACACAGCCGAAGGTTTAATTGCAAAACAAAATGTCCACCCTAATCGAAGGCAATTATTGTAAAATCTGCAGTTCAAATTTGAGTTTGTAAGGTGGGGGAAGTTGGTTGAAATCTGGTCTAGAAAGCAGGAACTTGAAGACGTAACAAACTGGCACTCTGGAATAATTTAAAAGCGCTATTTTGCAAATGACTTCTTTTGACGAAAATTATATGTTTAAACATTTTTGCAGGTTTCAGATATGTTATGCTTTCAGGTCTGCTCCAAACCAACAGTGTTAGTGTGATATCTTCAGGAATGCATCAACATCTGTGTCACCTGAATAGCCAGCTTTATGTTGGCAAACACTGCAGTGGTTGTATCAGTTTTCTCTACTTTCAGTCATTGTTTTACTGCCAAGAGTTGAACTGTAACATGGTAATTTAGCTTTTAATACAGTATCCTAACATATTGTGTCATGCCACTCAAACTTTATGTCCTTCTGCAGTTTATCCACAACATGTGATAAATGGAAGATAAGTTACAATACTGATATAAAATCACACTCATTCATTTAGCTCACACGCAGAGAAAACAACAGTCACAGCTGACGGTATTTATCTGGTAGAGAATGAATTTCATCTGCTCTGTGAACATTAGTAGAAATTTTGTTCCGTTTTGGAATACTTAAATGTTAAAGGCATTCTTCTACATGATAAATTTCATGCTCAATAGCTGCAGGCTTATTTGTGGTCTGGCTGTTGACTCCCTAGTAATCAAGTTTGATTATCCTGGGGCAAAAATGTTTCCAAAGCCAAAACAGTTTTTATTCCCTGTTCTTATTAATTTCAGCATAGCTCCTCACTTTTCCTGGGCAAACAATTTTGTGGTAGAATTGTTTAATCTATAATTTTCCCACTTTGCCATTAACCAGCTTTACATCTACTGAACGTATTCCTTTTGAAAAGCCATAGAGATTGACATGCTTCAATACTGTCCTGTTATAAATGCAATGCATATGTGGTATCATATTCCTGTTTTACTGATCCAGATGAATCGGGCCCTTTCCACATAATGAAATTCTTCTTTATTTTAATTTATTTATGTTTCATATTTTCAGTATTTTCAGTTTTTCTGGTGTTTTGGTCCATATTTGCTCTTTAAGCCTTTGTAAGAATAATTTAATATTTTTGCTTAGTTCTGTTGGCTTATTGCATCATGTTGAACAGGAAAGGGGCTCAGGCAAAGTGATCAAACCTTACAAATAGCGAAGCTGATGC